TTTTTTCTTTCAGGTGTATGCAATTTCTAATGGCATGTCCATGGTCTTTATGGAAATGATAGTACTTGCCTTTTATCCCTCTTGCTAGCCGACTTGACCATTGGTTTTGGCCAATCAAGCTCTTTCATGTCTTGTATCTGCATAAGTAACTTAGTACACGAGGTATCCAAAGGAGTAAAGGCCTTAACTTCTCGCCTTTGCCTCTTCGATCACTTCAGCGCATACCCCTTACTCACGTGCTTATTTCTCAGCTTATTTCTATCAATATCTTTCGCTCATCATGTAACTTTTGCTTAAGAGTTTCTGGCTCTCACCCTTCTCGAAGGTCTTTCATGATCCACTTCGCTTCCTTTGCATGTACGTACTTGTCTTCCTTCTTCAACAAGTTATGCATCGATTCCGAGGAATTTTTTGAAAGCGACATCTTAATGCTCGATTTCATGTCCTGGACATCAATGTGATAGCCACAGAAGACATTTGAAGGTCCTTTATGTCAAGTGTAGCCCGACTAAATTTTGGCAAAATAATCTTGCAAGGGCTCATCTTTCTCCTAGACAATCTGTATCAAAGCGATTACAGTCTTTCTCTTTCTACTAAAGAAATAAACCACAAAGTTCCTGGAGAGCTTATCATAGGTTTTAATAGATCGAGTTTCCAAAGTTGCTACCCAGTCCCTAGCCTATTTCCTTAGTGTCGGTTGAAAGGATCGACACATCACTGCATCTAGGACTGCATATAGTCTCATTAAATCAATGAAGGTCTGTAGGTGGTCAAGCGGATCTATGACTCTGTCATATGCCTCTATCATTGTATTTAAAGCCTTTTAGTAGAGGGACTTCCATAATCTCGGGTGCTAATGGGTTTATTTCCAAAACCATCTGCCTGTGTCTATCATTTCTCTTAGACAACCCGTCATCTATCTTCTGGGCCATCATTTTTTCCACTTTACATTCCAAGTCTACCATAGGACATGAAACCTATAGATTCGTGACTTTTTGAGCCCCTAAGTTTGCTACTGCTGGCTGAATAATTGGGGAAAAAAACAGCTTGTGCTGCTTGAGACGGTTGTTCGCGCTAACCTTCGAGGGGTTTTAGGGTAGGAGGGCTGGTCTCTGAGCTTGATGCAGGAGAGTCATCATGGCTCGCAACTGAGTCTCCAGAATGCTAAATTGACTCTACTTCACATATTAAGGTGGCGGCTGCGGCGAGTCTTCACCCCTAGCATAGATTTCGACTTCGCCATATTTTATAAAAAGCACGTATCACTCTTTATTCGTCTTCTTGACATTGCTTTTATGTTTAGTGGTTTCCTACAGATAGTGCCAATGAAATAATATGGCAACGACCTTTGAACTTCCGTAGTGGAGCAAGGTGGCCAATGTTATTCCGATGAACAAATGAACACCTACAAAAAGAGGTTGGAGCTTTCTCCCCCGTTGTACCTTTGCCGCGAGAATTAGTATAAGGATTTCAAATGTAATGACTTAAAAAGAGATAAAGCCAGAAAATATATTATGAAAAAGGAAGATCCCCTTACCTGACAAACCTTGGAAATATTTATTGGCATTCAGCACCATGTAACCGTTAGACAGTTTTTGTCTACGTGTCTAGTGAAAACCGTCCACTTACTAGACGAATTTTACCCACGTACTTAGCGATTAACTTCCATCAATTAAGATGTTGAAAGTAACTTGTGACAACCGTTAGGCGATTTTCAATCGATTTGTCATAGTGATGGTCAGGCTAGCATAGCATTAATTGTCTAGTATAATAGAATTTAGGATAGCATAGCAGGAGTCGCTCTACTATGGTGGCATTCAGGCTAGTATAACGGTAGTCAGTCTACCATAGTACATTCAGGTTAGCATAGCAATAGTCGTTCTACCATAGTGATGATTAGGCTAGCATAGCGGCAGTCGCTCTACCATATTGGCAGTCGAACTAGCATAGCGTAAGTGGTCTAGTAATTACCTTCACTTAGTTTACCATCGTAATCAATCATTTATATCACACAACATCACCCACTTTCAAAAGAATCTTTGAATTTTGTAAAAACATAATATTTAGTCATTGATTTTTCATAGTGAAATGTACTAAAAAAATCAAGAAAATATTATAATGTTGAAACTGTCTTCCATCAACACTTGAAATATTTACCCTATAGCCACAAAAATTAGCCTTTGCTCATTTTTCTAATGCACAACTTTTGGCCACAAAAATTAGCCTTTGTTCATTTTTCTGATGCACAAGTTTTCTTTCTTCGGAGCTAAGAATGATGTATAGTGAACTTTAGGATTCGATTGCATAGAGAACACTTTTGTACCTCATGGTTTATTCTTACGCGCGTAAATTTTCTCCTCGTTTGCTTAATGTGGTTACTGTGTCCAAATGGCGAGTTAGAGGAATGCTATTCATAGTAGCATGAAGTTAAGCGAGTTTTCAGTTATAACCATGGAGTTTAACCCGGCTCTTACTAGCTTGGGTATAAATTTGTTAGGTTTTTAGTTGTATTGGCAATTCTTTAGACAAAATAATTATTGTAAAATAATAGAATTGTTACAAGAGAGTTGTAATAGTCAAAGAGTCTTTTGGAGGATTATATAGATAAATTAAAAGTCTTTGGGTTCAAGTATGGAATAAGAAGAAAGAGTTGCTGAATTTACGTTAGCCGATCGCCTAGCTAATGCTCGAGTGTCCAAAACAGAATCATTGTCGCTCGCGTGTCCCCTGGCTTTCGTTTGAGCAATGCACCTCTCGCTAGCATGGCGCTCGAGCGACGGTGTTGTCCGAGAAATCCTAATTTGCATTTTTCAAGACTTTTATCTATCCTATACTACCTAAATTCCTCATATTACAAATACCCCATGCCCAATACGTTTTTGGTGGTGGCTGATCATTATTTAAATCTTCATAACATTATTCCAAGATCCAAGAACACATTCAACAATCTAGGTTAACCTTTTGATTCTTGAGATCAATCAACCACAAATTTGGGAAAAACATCGGATTTCTTATAATCCAAAACGACGACTTCCGAAATATGATCAGGAAGGTACTTTCTCATGGCTTTCAGAGGTTGTTGAAGATTGATGGAAGTTGGACCAGAAGCACATAAAGAGTACAAAAACGAGGCGTTCCACAGGAAATAGACAATTCTAGAAGATCGGGAGCAAGTGTGAGTGAAGCACGTTCCAGCGGGTCTTGGAGACTGTGGAATTAGATCAGCGAGTCTAATGTGTTTTCTAGGCTGAATCATACTGTAAGTTCGTATTATCTATAATGGTAACTATTGGCTTGGTCCCGGAGTTTTTACCTAGTTAAATGTTTTCTCCATCATCAAATCTTGTGTTATTTATTGCTTTAATTGTTTATTGCCGCAATTTAATATAGGATAATTTGACTTGATAGACTAAACATTTAGAAAAATTAAAAAGTGACTTGTTGCTTTTAATTGACAAATTTAATTTTGCGTTATTCACCTATTAGGTGAATTTAGGGTTAAACTAGTAACTTTCAAAAGTAACCAAAGATGGTGTGAGTCAAGAGATTTCTACTACAGTAAACAATGGCAAAGATGACTACTTCGATAATGATACTTTTGATGATGAATAGAAGACTGGTAAATAGTTCCATGGAATTATGCCATAGTTTGATAAGCATTATAAAGAGTTTATTGAGGAAGAGAAATGCCCCAGTTTGATAAGCATGATGCTCGTGCGTTCTTGCTTACCACTTGGTTTACATAATGTACAAGTGGCAAGATTTCACAAGTTGATCTGACCTTTTTTTTGTCCAACATGGTGTAAAATCTTGTTACTTATACATTATGTAAACCAAGTGGTAAACAAGAATGTACAAATAGCATTTTTCATTTGGGAATATGAGTTTTGAAATAGAATTTTTTTTAATTTACGTGCAAAATATTTTAGTCCTTATTTGATGACCTTTAATTCAAAACTCTTTTTTTTTCATACTTATTTTCAACCACATTCGTACAATAGAATATTTTGTACATAATTTCAAAACTTTTTTCCTACTTTTTTAACCATACATTCTTTAAAAAATCACTATTTAAAATATTGTTTTTCCCAAATAATGACCATTAAATTGTTGGAACATGTAGTTGAAAATTAGTTTTAAAAAAATTGTGAAATGGTTGTCAAACAGTTGCCACCTTGAATTTAAAAATATTCAATGGTTTTCCATATGAAACTCCAATTTTGTTATAGTAGGAGCTGCCCTTTTGTAGTGCTTGGATGTCTTTTTGTAGTGCTTGTAAATAACATGGAACGAGCAAACAATAAGATACATTTAACTTAAAGTTCAGAATAAAATTGAACAAGGAAAAGACACCAAAATCATCGTTACCACAAAGTATGAACTCGAGTACAATTTTCAATTTCCTGATCAACATCCAATAACCACATGAAAGGTAAAACAAAGGGAAAAAAAAAAAGAAAGGCATAATTTAAAGCTTTCACAACTCAATCATGTATACCTGAAAGTGAGGAGAAGATATGTGTTTTGGATTAGTCTGTGCATCTAAAGAATTTTTTCCATACAAACCGTGAGAGCTGTATAGGTGGAGCAACCAAGATACTGAAAAACGATAATTTCAAACGATATCTTGCAAATTATATTACATCACTGCACTTCATCCAACATAGTCAATTTTCAAAATTAAAACAGTCGACGACTCGAGAATTTCCTCTAGAACTCAAAATTGAAGTAAAAACCACAAGTAATGCTACTACATATCAAGAGACTTTGAACCATGGATTTTTACCATCTTTCCAGTACCTCAACAAGACTATTTCACAGGCTCTTAAATACTTTTTGCTTTTAATCTGCACCACTCTGGTCCAATGACATGTTGTATACTGCATTACAGAAATAGTAGAGGTTGAATAAGGGTGCATTCACATCTATACATGGGGTCAAAATTGAGGACAGAACGAGTCTCTCTTCGGCTGCAGATATTCAGTGAGGTAAAATCAATTTCATGCTGTTGTGATCATCAGTGCTTTTGGTCCGGTTTTGCACCAACTCAAATGTCTGCGTGCACACGTTGGCAAAACCAGTCAGTGCCTGAAACACACGAGGCAATCCCATTTGTAGGCTGTTCAATGTCACTAACCTAGTAACACTGATTGATTTTTCGTACATGGCCTTTTCATCCTCAGCCTTTGCCCTTGAAGCCTCCATGGCTGCTTGTTTTTCTCTCACTGGATTCTTACTTAAATCACTACAGATTTCAGACATTGCATAAGGACCATACTTGCACTCGAGTGTTCTAAGCTCAAGTACCTTCTTCTCATGCTCTTTGAAAGCTAATTCTGCCCTCTTTTTTTGCTTTTGCTCTTCAGCTTGTTTCTCTATAACGGCATGGATCACTGCTAGGAAGCTCTTAATTCCCTCCGACGCAACTTTATCTGGAGCATTTGTGATTGCACGCTGCCAATCATCACAAAGGGAGTAAATGGCCGAGTCTTGCACAGTTCTTTGAACTGGTTTGTTGCATACTTCAAAAAGGCTAAGGCGGAGCCAGCCAGTGAGGGACTGAATATAGTCATGTTGCGCTTTCACGAGGTTGCAGAAGGAGAGGTGCCACTGTTGAGCTTCAACCTCAAGTTGTAGAGTTGCTTGTCGATGAATTTCAGAAGTAGGATCAGTAGACGGAATACAGTTGAGGTACTTGAGCTGCTGGACTATGTCTGTTTGAACTTGATGGCACTCATACATCCTTCTCCACATGTTCATCAACCTGCGAAGCAGAGAAGAAAATGACTAACCAATCCACTATTTATCTCTAATACCTGACAAACCTGTAAAATCAATAATACAACGATTTCAACCCAGTTCTAGTTTTATGACGATTATTGATATGTTATGTTCACAAGTAGAGTTGGGAGAATTTAGCACAAACAACTTCTTCCTGCTTCAACTGCCCAGTAATTGTTCCTGATTCTCCAAGTAAACAATGTCTTCCTATAAAAAAAAATTAAGTGAATGAAAGCAGTATCAATGTTGCTATTCAGGTTAGACCAAAAGGTCCTCAAGCCAAATGTTCATCCTGTGTTCATATTTATCAACTCGACAAATCAATCTTCCCGAAGCCGTGGAACTAACATTTCCCTAAAGCTTCAAAGTTCTTGCTTGAGCTGAATTTTCTGTATTCCTAATCCATTATGAGCTCTACAAGTTACGTTTGGACAATGATAATTTCACTTGCTATAAGAGTATCAATATTTGCTTGAGAAATTTAGCACAATTCCCAGGAGTATTCGACTTCACTTGCTATAAGAGTATCAATATTAGTTCTTGATAAATTCAGCACAATTCCCAGGAGTATTCGACTTGAGCACCTAGATCAAGCAATTTGTGGATTGCATGTACAGTTTTCATTGTTTTCCACATCAACACAAATTAGGATCCTTATAGCTGACTTCAATTTCATATTGAGAATAAGATGGCTTTTGTTAATTTTCTTCTAGGTTGACTCGGTAAAAAAAAAAAAAAATCTCTTCCAAGCATGATTTTTCAATTTTAGTAGTTTCGAATGGAAAGTATAATTTTGCTGATTTTTTTAACGTTAGTAATCAAATTAATTTTGAGAAACTGATTCTCAAATGCTCAAATCCCAACTGTCAAAGCACCATGGTTGCGTCCTAACGCCAGGTGCAAACCTGAAAACTGCAAATGCAATCCCTGACAGCAAGCAGAAGTCCCTCCCTTGTTTCTTCCGTTCTTCCTTACAAATTATGCACAATATCAAAAGCAGAATCTCCATTCTCTCTTCTGCATCTATTTCTCATTTTCTCCCCCACAATGGAATCAATAACCAAGCCAATTCACCTCTAGAACCAGTCCAAAACCTCACAAATGCAATTCTCCACCCTTTCCAGCCTCTAGCACCCACGGACAAGATTGAAAGCCAGGCAACCCAGCTCTTATCTGCAATCTCTGACATTTTTTATTTTTTTTTAGGGGTTGTTTGACAAAGTTTTTGATAAAAGTTGATGCAATGTGTAGTTGAAAAGTTAATAAAAGTTGTGAATCCCATGAAATATGTGTGGTTAAAGTTTATGTTTGACCAATTTGAAAAGTTTATCACACGAGCACTTATTCTATTTGATCTAGTTTCCTTCTCGAAAATGCCCAAGAATTGTGTGCCTGTGTGCTCGTGTGTGAACCATGATTTTAATCATACTCTTACCGGCCAAGAACCCTTTATAATAAAATTATAAACAAATACAAAAATATAAGAAAAAACTTGAGTAGAAAACAAATACTTTACGAACATAGAGAAGTGTGATATGTATGTAACAAATCTCACACAATAGAATTCTCCCCCAGCACCAACATTAACATGAAAATGGATATCTGCTCCAAGACATAGAGATGGCAACGGGGCAGGTCGGGCGAACCCCCTCCGCCGGTTAATTTCCCACCCTATACCCGCCCCGTTACCCGTTTAATGCGGGGCGGGGCCTTTGCCCCATTTACTACGCTTTTAAGTTTTTTTTATTTTAAATTCATTTTATTTCCCCCATCATTAAAGTGGGACAATAATATATTTATTAATTTTTTTTATTTATTTTTAAAAGTTAAATTATTCAAATATATTTGGTAAACTAAAGCTTTTATTATTTATAATCTTAGTTGTCATCATTTATTAGAAATAATGAAATTTCGTAAAGTTTTCCATTTAAAATATTGAATTTTTTTTAAAAAAAATTAAACTGGGCGAGGCGAGGCGGGGCCCTTGTTACCCGTACCCGCCCTGGGGCGAAGTCCACTGCCCCATCCCCGACCCGAATACCCAATTAAGCGGGTAATTCCGCCCCGTTCGGAGCGAGCCCCGCGAGTATAGGGTTTGACAGGTCTTTTTGCCATCACTACCAAGATATAGCACTTACTTCAATATCAATATGAAAAGATCTACATTAACTTTTACATGCAAACCAAGATTTCATCGTGCTCTACATTAACTTTTACAGGCAAACCAAGATTTCATCGTGCTCTTATTGACCAGAATTACCACGAAATACTTTAGCAGTGAAAAATATAGAAAATATTGAAGGAAGATTTTTTGTCCATTTTGTAAGGTATAATTATCCTAATTTGTAAACAATGACTTCTAACAGACACTAGATGAAAATTTGTCTACAAGGACTAATGGTGTAACTAAAATGAAAAGTTAAGAGAACCAAATGGAGATAAAGGTATACATATAGTAGGACCTCATGGAGGAAAGGAGATCAAGCCGACGACACAAGGACGTGAGTAGTAGTGGGAATGCCTATAAATTCCTTCCCCATTTGCCTAAAATTGGTGGTATCAATAGCAAAACATAGTTGTAGGCACATGCTTTAAAGCCCTAAAAGTTCTTGCATGGTATGCTTGTTGCATATTGTTGGTTGGGATATATATATATATTACCGATGTTTAGACCTTAATGTGGAATTAATCAATAACATGCAACAAATCACTTAATTATTGTCTCTAGATAGCCAAGATTAAATTCAATTAAAACCCCATGTGTCAATCAATTAAAATATATCAAAAGCAATAAAAAGTAAATCAACATCAAGAATTGATGACGGAAGAAAACCCCTTGACGAAATCTTCACAGGGCTCAAAAATCTCCGATCAAACCTTATCAAAACGATCCACTAGAATAATTAACTTAAAATTTGTCCAAACATTGCTAAACTTTAGCTGACTCTGACCACCCAACTTGTAAATCACCGAAGAACCTCAACCTCTTCAATTGTACAACCCGTATTTTCAAAACTCTGGACTACATTTCTCTCCATTGGATCACCAAGAACGATCCTCGTTCCGGAACAACTGGAACTCCAAGTTGTCTCTTCCAAAACTTCAAAACTCTGAAAGTTTATTGGAAAAGGTAAGGGTTTGGTGTTTGATCTAATGATCTTTTGTGTTTTGATATGTAGTAGAGATAAAAGATTTATGGATATATGGATTTGAACTTCAATGTATATTCTCTTGACTTAAACAAGGCTCAACCAATGTAACAAGGTTTGAGATGAATATATGAAAAATAAATCAAGTGGTTGAATCAAGAGATCTTTGGAATGCGTTTTGGATCTTTAAGAATATGCTTTAATGTAAAATAATGATTCAACACGCCTTGGGACGTTTCATGGCTTGTAAATTTATAATCGGTAATGTTTGATGTTGAATAGGATTGAAAAACTATACAAAAATTGTGAAACATGGTTTCACCATGTAACACGGCCATTCGAGTGCCCATGGGACGCCCACGAGTGGCCAAAGTTCTGTTTTGGGCGCTTGAGCTTAGAGGGTAGCCAGTGAGCTCTCTCTGAACAGCCGTCAATATTTTCATCGTATCTTTCTTTCTCGATATCGAATTAAGGTGATTTAAAATGCGTTAAAAAACTAAGGCCCTGTTTGATACAAAGCTTTTTCCATTTCCACCATTTTGTCATGTTTGATAGGCTTTTCTTTTCTAGGGAAATTGTTTTCCCTCCCATCCTCACACGTGCACACTTTCTTTGGTTTTGTGGAAATTATTTTCCCACCTTTTTGTGGGAATTTGAAGTTCCAGATTTTTTTATTTTTTTTTTTATTTTTTTTTTTTTATTTTTTATTTTTGCAATTGGAACAAATTTCATAAAAAATTGTAAAAAAAAATTCACCTTAATGGACAATTTCTATGTAAAACAAAGCCAAACGAATACTAAACTTTGATAAAAAATGATTTTTTAGGGGAAAAAAATTTCTTTCTTTTTTTTTTTTTTTTACTTTTTGGTAATGAAAACAAAATTTTATAACCAATTGTGGAAAAAATTATCACATTAATGAACAATTTTCATATAAAACCAAGCCAAACGAACACAAAAAGATTCAAATTTTTAAAATTTTCCAGGTAGAAAATTATATCAATCAAACACACTTAATTAACAATTCCCTGGAAAACAATTTTTAGGCAATTACTTTCCCTGGTATTCATTTTCTTTCCACCCTTGCAATCAAACGGACCCTAGCTTAAAGGGCTACAATTCTTCTAAAAATAGCATGTTTCAAATTTGAATGTTGTTGCAGCTTGTGACTGAAAATTTAGCTCATGACTTGTGTGGCACTTTAACACTCATTTGACTTACAATTGCATCTCATTAATCATATGTGATCTTTTTGGACATCTTTGAGCTTTTTGACTCCTTTAAGACCTATACTACCAATCCACTACTATTTTGACTTTAATTACAACTCAATAACTTCTAATTTTGGATACAGGAATAGACAATTACAATTTGGACCTAACATATATTGTTATGAGGTTGGGGTGGAAAAGGTGGGAGAACAAGAGATAAGTGTTAGTTTCTCACTGGTATTTCCTATGATTTCTCATTAAGTGAGAGGAGATATTAGTTTCTTTGTTTATCATTAGCGTTTTCTATGATAACTTCTATTATTTTCTCATTGTATTAAGAGAGAGGCAGTTGTACCAAAATTTCGCAATTTCACTTTCTTTTGAGCTACCTTCTTCCCATAAATTTCGAAAACTAGTATCAGAGTTATGTCCCAAACTTGACTAAAAGGACGAGTCAGATGAATCCTAAAATGTGTATGAAAGATACGAAATGCGGTGTGGTAGACTTGCAATGGCAGGAGGTTTTGCGATGGTTACTCTCGAGGTGATGGACCTCCGGGTAACGCAAGCTAGGAGTGGTGGAGATGAGGTATACTACAATAAAGTCTGTCATCTTATAGCTTGAAAGGAGATGGACCGAAGAGATCATCGTTCAAGGAGAGCGTGATTATGTAGCACTTTGTTCGAGAAGGGGATTGTTAAAAGATGTGTGAACAATCCCACATCACTTCAAATAATTGAGCTAGTTCTCCAGGGTTCATTATGAACTAAGCTAGTTCTCTGAAAAGGTTAACCATTGAGATGCAATCCTAAATCCCAACAAATGTTTTGTATTCATTATCGTGTCAATAAATATGTAATCCCGCTTTTCCAAACATGACTATTAAACATTATTCTCAATCATTCTACTTTAATATCCTGAAATTATGATTTACTAGTCATTATGCAATAGTGATCATTTTCTCTCTCTTATTATCAACTGTTTATAATATATTGCAGCAACAAATGGAAACTGGTGGGATTTTTAATATTTATCCTCCTCTTCAGTGAAAGTGATTGTAAAAAAAAAAAATGTATGCAGGAATTCAAGTTGACAACTAAACATAGAGAGGACTAACCCCTTTACGAGCTCAACAAGTTGCGGATAGAGCTCCGATTCCCTCAATTTGACAATTTCAGCAGAAGTAGTCTCAATGGCATGTGAAGCTACCAAAATGTGTGACTCCAACTTCTCAACCTCTTTTTTGGCTTTCTCAGTCTTAACATAGTCGGCCCTCTTCATCTCCAGCTTCCTCAGGTAAGCAGCTTTTTTCTCATGCTCTAATTTCATAGTCTCAGAATTCTACAACAATCATAGACGAATTATAATTGCATCTATCATAGTAGGATTGAATAGCAAGGAACTTTGTTCATTATACTATACGTTTACGTCCAGTACTATAAACCTTATCAATATGCACCGAAAAGGCATTATATAAAATAGTGAAATAGGAATACCTTAACCTCCTGGTAGAGTTTCTTTTCCCAAGCATACAACTTCTCCACTGTTGAACAATTAGAGGTATTGCCATCAATGCCAATACAACCCATATTATTTCCAACTGGATCCTCACAGTACTTCCCAAATGCACTGCTCGAACCCCATCTCCACAATGAGGGGCTCAAACTCTTGCCGTACTTGTAATCCTTACCTATACAAGAAAATTTTCACTAAATAACAGAATATGAATATTTCAAAACTAGAAAACATGTAATCCTTACCTATACAAGAAAAAATTCACTAAATAAGAGAATATGAATATTTCAAAACTAAGAAAACATGGCAACAGTGGCGAAAAATTACAAAAAGATCTTTGGTCAGTGAAATTAGAAGTTGGGATCTCCAATATAAGGGAGACTGGAGCACAGGCATCAGCTGCCTTGAGAAAATAGTCATCAAGCTCTTTCACGATCTCAACTAGATCTTTACTTTTGGTGGTGGGGACTACAGCAAGTTCACTACTGACGGTGGTTGTGGTGGACCTGGCGGTGGTGTACTTGGGAAAGCCACCAATGACGGACGGAGGGCCAGCCGGCACACTGGCCACTTCAGAACCGGTGGTTGTCTCCTCCCATTCCTCCTCATCCACTGATCTTCCTGCATACGGCATGAAAGGGTCCCAGAAATCCCACCCAGATGAAGACGGCGGCGTCAACGGAGGTGGTGGCGGTGGTGGGTGGACGGCGGAGGAGCTCGTTGTTGTTGCTTCGGATGTGGTGCTCATTGGAGGAGGCGGGGGTGGTGAAGGAGTCAGAGGTGGCAGTGGAGGAAGATGGTGTTGTTGGTGGGTGTTTTGATGGAAATGAAGATTAGTCTCGCCGGTGGCGAACTGGAGAAGGGCGGAGCCGGTTGTTCTGAGTGAGCGGAGATACATACTGTGAGCTGCTGACAAAGCTTGTCTGGCTTTCACAAACTGTTTCATGTACTTCCTTCTAGCCTTGCATCTTGACACCATTTCTTGCCTCTCTATTCTTGAATAACAACAACCCATCTTTTCTTTTCACTTTTTTTCTCAAATCTTTCCCTCAAATTATACTCATAAAAAAGTCAGATTCAAAAGAAGTAAAAGAGAAATAAATTCTCAGAAAACAGTTTTCACTTTTCCATTTTGAATTACAGGCTTTCCTGGTAAATCTCTCCGTTCCTTTCTCTCACATACATAAACTCACCATTGATGAAGAGTCGTGGGGCGGTGGTGGAAGGAAAGGAAGGGTGATAGAATAACACGACAGTATTTTTGGGTATTCCGAGGCAGTGAAATGTGAATTCTTGTACAGTGTGCCAAAATTCTCGTATATACAAAATGAAATAATGACCGAAATGCCCCCAATATACAAAACCTTTTTGCAATAATATACTACCCTTTTCACGTGCAGAGTATCTTTGTCGACCCGAACCGGACCAAATAATTTGGTGTGTACGAAGTACTAAGGGACAGACCGGTCTTTGAAGTTTGAAGTTGTACAGTTGGGAAGAGAAGGGTAGTTTGGGTAACTGGGACTTTCAACGGTTTGACTTATTTCAAACTTAGGTTTAGGCAATGCGTTACGGATTCAGAGAACAAAGATTATTATGTGTATGTTCTCCAATCAATAATTCTCCTTTACCGAAGTGGTTGACCCCATTGTGATTAAAAAAAGAAAAAAATTATTCACCCATCCCATATATGAGAGATTGTCAACAAACACACCCCCTCCCCCGGTACAAGTAGCATCTCTCTTCTCCAAATCCTAATCCGTATTCTATTAAAATTTAGTTTATGATTGGGTTTGGACCTCTCTTGCACAATTTAGGTGGAAGTCAATGGACTCTTTCGAGGTCAAAGCCATCAATGAGATAGAATTATACTTAGGGATGGCAACCCGGAGGGGGAGGGGCGGCTCTCCCAGCCCCCGCCCCGTTACCCATTTAAGGCAAGGCGGGGCGGGG